CTCTCCCCTAATAGCAACTGGGGAAGGGGGCCTCTTGCAGCGCCGGAAGTCCGCCAGCAGCTATTTGGTTTTCCCTGTGGATACTCATTTCAGCCGAGTACTCGCTCGACCCTATAGTTATAATTGATAGCTATGATGGCCGAAACTACAGAAAAAAAGGTCCAGGTTGTACAAAATATCACTGAAAGTAAATGATTTCTGTACTTTTGTACTAAATAAATTTAAACTTCAATTACAGTAGAATGCATTTGGATTGACAAGACTATAAATCTACCCACAAGTGGTTGATTGTGGGATGCATTGGCAGCACCTAGTGGCCTCTCTCCGTGTGGTCTCACTGTATTGTAAATGAGTGATTGAATGACTGCTAAATGGCAGCGGCCTCCAACAGTTTTGCCCTGGTGTGAAATACCTGTCAGGGCCAGAAAGTGTGGGTGTTAGCTGTAAGTGACAAACTGATAAAAACTGGAAAAGAGGGAATTTGGGGATTGCTGAGAGAGATTGCCAATGAAAGAAAATGAGAAACTGACTCTGCCAATAATGCAGTTATAATCTAATTGAAAAACAGATTGACAGAGGTAGACGGCGAGAGGCAAAGACACCCAGAGAAAGTGAGCCAGATGCAAACAACCACCTACAGCGATGTCGAATTAACCCACTGCCTCTCTGAGTGCCTCTCTGTCTCAGATACATGTGTTCGCACCGGGGGAACAAAGCTATCAGGAACAAACAAAGAACGAAATTGGGAACGACAGCATGAGAGCAAATGACAGAGAGAAATATAGACACCCGAGCGTGAGAAAGGAAGGCAGAGGGAAAGACTGAAAACAGCCAACAGGCATAACAAAGTCGGACCGCAGTATCCTGAACATAGGCTGGGACCATTAGATTACACACTGGGTAGCTACTGTGCATCCTGGGATTTGTGTGTTTTGACCCTTCTACTGAGGAGAGAGGGATGGATCGCCTCCTCGGGGGATTAGCTTCCAACAAACAGATAACAAAAGAATGTTCATTCTGAATAACAAGCTCCATATATAAGGGCGGGCATGTATGAAGATTAATGGATTGTACAGCAGAAACACATACGGATGTGTATATGTGCATATATATGGCAAGGCTGAAACAGGCAGCTGGAAATCCTTTTGATGTGTTTGATATGCTGCCCTTAAAGGCACGGCCACAGGGGTGAGCCAGAGACGCAGCAAGAACAAAGGAGGGGTATGGCTAGAGTGAAAGAGGCAGAGGGATGGAAGGATGAGAAGAGAGGAGTGAAAGTACACAGGGAATAACCTCTCCATATCTGGGCCATGAAAGCAACCTATGGGGGGAACTGGAGCTGTGTTGTGTTCCCGAGTCTTTATGTTTCTCGGAGAAGGGCTTCTCCCTGCTCATCAAAAGACAGCAGGTTTCTGATCTGAACGCTCAAGGGCAAAACCAGACAGGTCTTTATCTGCAGAGACTGTGGCTAAAATATCTGTGTGACTTACACATCCCGAGGATATCATTATCTCTGATGTCTATCGCAATTAAAGGTCCATAAATCTGCTTAGAAATCACAGAAAAAAGGCACTGCCAGAGAATAATCACATTTTTAAGTTTTCTTCAACATAATGACGGTTTGTACATCGATGGGTGCATTGCAATCGAACTGCTAAGGACTAATTATTATTGAAACAACCAAAAAAAGACAACAGATATGTATACGTTTTTTGAAGGATAATTCAGTTCTATTACAACCCCATAGTTTTGGCCTTCATTTGCCATTACACTCACAAGTTAATTTTTGAAAATCTCCCAACATAAAAAAAATCACTACAAAATAAGTCAGATAGGGCAGGAAACATAAGCTATCAGAAGATCAGACAAGTGTCAAACTGTTCATTGTAAGCATTTGTCACAATTTATACATCACTTTTCTCGTTCAACTTTGACCTTCCATACTTACTATACTTCCATACTCGAAGTTGTGGTTACAGGTATGAACGTCAACATCACAACAAAACCTCTAATGACTTTAGCTCAATTCTTGTGCAGCTTGACCTAGCTAATCATGCACTAAAGGTCCAGTGTGTGGGATTTAGTGGCATCTAGTGGTGTTGTTTTATGTCCCAAATACATCGCTTTGTCTTCCTCTTCCAAGCACAAAGGTGAAACTACTGTGGCTGCAAAACACGCAAACTGCCCTATCTAGGGCCAGTGTTTGGTTTGTCTGCTCTGGGCTACTGTAGGAACACGGTGGTTCAACATGGCGGCCTCTATGGAAATTACCTGCGGTGTCTGTAGATAAAAACATCTCATTCTAAGGTAACATAAACACAACTATTCTTATTTTAAGATTATACACTAATGAAAACATACCTGAATACTAATATACACATTTATCAATATCAGATTCCATTTCGGCCAATAGATCCTCCTATATGTTACAAGCTGGTCCTTTAATGGAAAGAAAAAATCATCATTGTTTGTCAGCAGACCTGGACCTTATTTTCCTGTATTTTTGGCTCAGTTACTAAATGGGATACACATTTTTGAATTTGGTCCAGTATTGAGTGAGCGTAAAAGTGCTTGTTTTTGCCACTTACCGGCTCAGATTGTTGAAGAAGTGTCTTGACAACACGACCCTGTAGAATATGAAACATTTCTGTACCTTGCTTAATCCGCTGTGTGTCGCAGTGGAGTACAGAAAGCGTAGCTTAGTGTTATGTAAACGACTTTCAACGCCATGGCTTAATATTTAACTGATTTGGATGAGGCTTTTTTGAATTTGATGGCTTCCCGTAGTTATTACATGGATAAGACTACAAATTGAAGCGAGAACAAGGAGAGAGAGAGAACAGGCAGAGGAACGTAAACCAGCTGATGCTAGGCTGGGAAGCTCAGAAGACTGGTGCTGTTCCTGTGGGTGCTGTGGGCGCCCACAAAGGAGATTTTATCAACCGAATCCACTAAAGGGCAGTGAAAACATAAAATGTTCCTGTAGGGTTGTTTCCTTATAACAACCTGAGCCCGTCAGTAGCAAAAACAAGCACTTTAAAAAAAAAAAAAGGTCCAGGTTGAAAAATACCTACAATACCCTTTAAGCCGCACTTATGTGCCTCTCCCAACCATGATTGCTCGGGCAATGACTGATCAGCACCTCAGTGCATCTGTTTGTTGATCAGAAAAACAGTACCTACTTATTACTCAATTTGAACACCAGTTAAAACGCTGAATGACTATCAAATAGCCCCGGAGTGTGGGGACACCTGCACATGCATAAACTATTGTGTTGGGTATGTTCAGCCTGTTGAGCATTTATTTATTTTCTAAATGATTATTTCCATTCTTAAAACACACACGCACCCAAACACATCACTAAACCAATTAGGCGGGCTCACTTTGGTGTCTCTGCTTCTCTGAGACTTTTAGACAGACACTGATTTACATTTTCATCCCAAAAGCACTAGCACTTTACTTTTTTATATTTTCAGTCTATTTGCCAAGGGGAACAACATTGCCACACAAATCAGCCAGTGAATATGTCAGTGTGTTTTATAAAGCAACACATCTGCTGCTATTAATTGGTGTCTTGCATATTTTACTAGTTTATTAGGAAAATGGTGCATCTGTGGAACCCACAGAGTCGCTGGAAATGTCAGATGTAATTGTGCCAGTTATACTCCTCTGGCTCTGCTTTGAGATGGACAAATGAGGTCCGGCTCCAGATACGCACGCACGCACGCACACACACACACACACCACAGTCCTTGTGTCTAACGTGCATTGTAATATGAGGTGTGGAACATATCAATATTCATGGAAACCGGTATTTCAAATGCCTCACTAACGCCTGACAAGACCTTTGTGACCTGACCAACCTCTGACATTAACAATTCCATTGACTTACAATGGTTACACAGGCGCACATGTTGTATAGGCAATGTGTGTTTTATTTTGGTGTAACGTTAACATGATGGTGAAGCTACAACTGAGCAATGTCTGACAATACACCTAACACTTAGAAAGAAAAAAATTTGTACTTACATGCTGTCTACTGGTGTATAAATGCAGGGTTGAGTGAAGCTGATGCTGGCTGATGTCCACACTGTTTATTGTTCCCCGGTTCTTACAATACGGATACACAAACACTCTTTCTAGTAGTCCTCTAATGAAACACAAACTTCATAATCATCAGTGCAAAACCCAATTTTGATTCCCAGTTTCAGTGGTTAGTAAGTAAAGTAGGTAAACTCAGGTTGGGTTGAGACATACTAGAAGTGAATGTTTCTTATGTTGTTTGTCACTTGATCAAATTTGTCTGTATATCTTTTCAGGTTTTTAAGAATCTTAAACTGTTCATGGAGAACAAGCAACCTGGAGATGACCTCTTTGATCGCCTTAATGTGAGTGTCTCACAAACTACATTTATTTCCTTTAGTAGTTTTACATGTATTCAGTGATTCTAGTCACCCCAGATAATTAATTTTGGGAAATATTGCCAGTTAACATGTTGGTGTTAAAAGCAAAGAATTAGTAAATGGGGGGAAAAAAAAGTAGAAGTGAAAACCGCTCACAAATGCTTTGAGTAATTGCTAACTGTGTAAAAGAGTACCTGAATTTGTCCGGGGTTGTGTGAAATATGTGAGAAACTCCACGAGGTGTGTAATATCTGAAGAAAAGGCAGAAACAGATTGTGAAAGCAAAATAGACTTAGATTTTTTTTTTAATGTTTTCTGGAGACAGAAGGCTACAGTAAAGGAAAAGCAGGGACTAAATTGTAAAGTGTAAGAGATGAGATTGAATGAGGATGAGCCATTGGTGTGGAGAGATGAAAGGAGTAAAGTGAGGAATCGGGAGGTGAGGAGAAGGGGAAGGATATTGGAAGCGGGGAGGCTGAAAGCAGAAAAGGAGTTTCAAAAGAGAGAGGGGATGGACTCTGCCAGATAAAAATGAAACTGCGCAAGTGGAAATTGAAAGTGAACATGCTAGGCGGTTGAATTTCCACACATAAAAATCTGGCGTCTTCTCAACCTCTTCGTGTGGCTGCAGGCAGCAAGGCCACACAGAATGCAGCAGTTATACACATGGTTAGTCCACCGCAGGGAGATGCGGGGCTTCTTAGGGTGCACTCAGTCTTTACAAAACAAGATCAGCTGCATTATTTGTCTATTTGAGACTATACCGCAGGCTAAC